CTCGGCGAGCTCCTCGGCGGACGGGTAGGCCAGCTCTGGCGCCAGCCCGTCCATCCTGCCAGGGCCGCGGGGGGCCCAAGATGTCGTCATCGGCGTCAATACCTCCGCCGCCGTCGTTGCCGACGCAGCCGTGGCCGTGATTGATCGTCATCGCTGCGAACCCGTCCCTCCTGTCACCTGCCGGGGCCGCGGGGGGGGGTAAAGGATGCAAGCGGGTCGGGGGCAAGGAGCTGGTGAGGGCGGGGGGCAAGGAGCGGAGGAGGAGGAGGAGGCGGAGGAGGAGGGGGAGGAGGAGAAGGAAGAGGAAGAGGAGGAGGAGAATGAAGCGGAGGAGGAGGAGGCGGAGGAGGAGGGAGGAGGAGAAAGAGGAGGAGGAGGAGAGGAGGAGGAGGAGGAGGAGGAGGAGGAGGAGGGAGGAGGAGGAGAAGAGGAGGAGGCAGAGGAGGAGGAGGAGGAGGAGGAGGGGGCCGACGTTGGATGGAGGACGCGCACCCATCAGAGGGAGAGCAGTAACGATTGGGTTCGAAGGCCGCTGCCTCGGACGCCCCCCCCCCCGCCTCGAGGGGGCCACGAAACCCTGGGAAGGCAAGGGTCCGCCCGCCCCCCACCCCCCAGCGAAGCAAGGGAGGCGGGAGACCAGCGGGGAGGAGAAGGGGAGAGGAGGGGGAGGGGGAGGAGGAGGGGGGGGAGGAGGGGAGGGGGAGGGAGGAGGAGGAGGAAGGGGGGGGGAGGAGGGGGGGGAGGGAGGAGAGGAGGAGAGGGAGAGAAGAGGGGGGAAGGAGGGGAGAGTGGAGAGGAGCAGTGCCCTGCCCCCCGGGGGCGTGGGCCCCCCGTGGGGGAGGCTGCGGCTGGCGCCAACTGGCTGCCAGCAGCGGCAGCGGGGAAACTGCATGCCTCGACTGGGCTGGGGGATGCGAGTAGGGGGCCACATGCGAACCCTACCCCTACCCCACGATTTTTAAGGGGGAGAGTGGGGTTCACTTTGCTCGTGAGCTCCCGAACGAAGTGAACCCCACCCCCCCCTTCAGAAATCGTGGGGGGTAGGGGTAGGGTTCGCATGTGGCCCCCTAGCGAGGGAGGGGGGGGGAGAGCGAGGGGTACAGTCGGGGCGTTGACCGAAGGAACCCTAAGTAGGGAACGAGGCCCCTTTTTCCCATAAGTTCACCTTCGATGTCCGGTCGAAAACATGAGGAAAGCCTGAGGCAAGCTGTGAAACACTTAAGGAACGCGGAGCCCCTCCCCAACGAAAAGGGTTCCTTCTTCAGGGCCCCGACTGCATTCAGGAGCGAGGAGGTCAGAGCGCTACAGATATCCTCAGATCGCTGAGGGGTGGCTCCAGAAATGCCCGAGGTCACCTTCACTTCGCGTGAAACAGCCTAAGATGGCCCAGATGGCCACCAGCAAGCCTCCTAGAGGCCGAACAAAGCCCCCAAGATGGAAATGAGGCGGCCCCCGAGCTTCCCAAGGATGCTCCCGAGAAGGCCAAACCGAAAGCGCGTGGCACCCTGACGTGGTGTTCCGCTCGTCGCCTTTTCGGCTTTCGATGTTCCCGAGACGGCGCGGGAGGGACTCAAGAGGATCCCACAAAAGACGGAAGGGTGCCAGAGGCTCCCAAAACCATTCCAAGAGAGGTCCAAGAGAGCCCACTATCAAGATTTCGGAAGGGCACCGCTCATCGAGGACCTCTTTTGGGGGACTTTTTTGTGTGGGGGGGTCGACGGCGCCAAGCGTGGCCCCAAGAGGGAACCCGAAAGGGCCCTGACTGAGCCCCAATTGTCTGTCCCCCTATAAAACTGCCCCAGAAGTTAGTCCAAGGGGGCCCCAAGAGGCTCCCAAAAGGCCCCCAGTAAGGGGCCTGCTCGAGCAGATCATTCCTTTGAATCTGACTGGAACTCCTCTCCCTTCTCGCGACAGGTCGCCTCGAATCTACATTTCTGGACTGGCTGACTGGGACAAACGAGGCGTCGGCAACTTTCACAGCGACCGCAAAGAAGCACGCACCAGAGCAGAGACGCGGGAGTCCGCGCTGCAGACCTGGAACAACGGCGCACTCTAGCCAACCTGGAAAAAGGGCGTGCGCAGAGCGATTCTACGTGTATTCGGGCGGAGAGGTAGCACACGGACCGCGAGGGAGCACTTCAGGATCTCAGCGGGCGAAGAGCGGCATAGAATGCACCGTTCCGCCGTCGGGGACGCCTGCCCCTGGGCGGCTGGAAAGCTTACACCCCTGCGGTGCCACCGGAAGGGTCTTTTTGGAACTTTCCAGCCGCCCTGGGACAGGCGCCCCCGACAGCGAAACCAAGTATATCTTATATCGCCCTTCGCCCGTTGAGGATCGCACGCTCGGAACATCGTGCCGCTGTGCGCGCCTGCCTCTCGGGCTGCTCCTTCTCCTGGTGGCGCGCGCGAGGTGGTGGGGCGAGGGAGGCGGCGGCCCTCCGAGAAGGCACGCGTGGGGGCCCCCGAGAAGGCAAGAGGGCCTCCTCGAAGGCCCCCTGCCGGCTCCCGCGAGGCCTCGGCAGCTCCCACGCCCCTTTCCGAGGAGCGCCCCCAAGACGAAGCGCGGACGAGGACAACATCCGGCAGAGAGAGATCGAGAGTCTCTGAGATCCGGCGGCTCTGGAGGATGTCTCGGGCGCCGCGGCCTTCTCGGAGCCTTCCGGGACGCTCTGAGAGCGTTACAGAACTGGAGCGGATCTGTCCTCGTCCTGGCCCCGTCCGAGCCCCTGCCTCCCGAGAAGGCCACCCGACCCTCCCGAGAAGGTCAAGTCCTACCCCCTCGCCGAGCGCCGCCGACTCTGCCAGGGGCTCCCGGCAGCGACGCTCATTCAGAGGCCTCCCAGATGGGGTCCGAGCTGGGTGGGGTCGGAGGATCGCGCCGCATCGCCAGTGCCCCGGCTCCACACCGGACCGCACCGCGGGCGCATCGGCGGTGCGGCGCGATCCTCCGACACCGTCTGGGGATACGAAAAAACGAATCCGATACTAGGGGGAAAACAAACCTACCTCGCTTTTGACCACTCTCGCTTCCAAGAGATACCAAACGATGCCAAACTACGGCCTGTACTGGTCAGGCTGCTTGACGAGGAGGCGCGTGGTATGACTTGGTTTTGCCTGGAAGCGAAAGCGGGGTAGGTAATTCACGCTCTGAGATGTACCGCTACTCCCCAGACCTCTCCAGGGGTGCGTTCTGACGAAGACTCTGAGGCGAATCCAGCGGTGGCGACGCGGGCCTCCCAGGAGGCCCAACAGGCGAACACGATGGAAGCATAGCCGCATGTCGGCGGCCAGCCCAGGGACGAAGCGAGAGGGGGCGGGCACTCTCAGAAGACTCGAAGCCCCCCCGGCCTTCCGAGCCTCCCCCCCTCGCTCGCGCCTCCGAGGCATGTTGAGCAGGGACCGACCGTCCCGGCATTCCTACAGTCCTACCACAAAATGTTCGTAGATCCCCAACGTGTTCGAAGAACCAAACAGTGTTCTTAGAACATGTTCCCGATGTGTCAAAACAAGACAGTCCCAGCCGGACATGTTCTAAGAACATCCCCTGGAAACCACAAAAAGGTTCTTAGAACATTGTTTGGTAGGGCTATAGGCGAGCCAGGACGCCTCGCCACTGCTTGGGCATGGGCACCTCCAGCCTCCTCCGACCCCAGCTGGTGAGGCCTGGCTGCCCGCGCCCGCGCCCTGGGGCCCGGGGGGCCCTGTGCAGGGCCCGCGCCCGCGCCCCGCTCGGCCGCCCCCGCGCCTCGCGTGCCCGCCCGCGCCCGCGGGCGCGGCGCCCTCGCCCCGCGCAGGGCGCGCCGCGGCCCCGCCCGCGGAGAGCCCCCAAGGCGCCCCCGGCGCCCGCCTATCGCCCCGCGTGAGGCCGGCGCTCGGAGCTCAGCAGCCCGCGCCCGGGGGCCCGCCCGCGCCCGCGGGCGCGGCCTCGCCGGAGCCGGGCGCGCCGCCCGCGCCCAGCCCGCCGGCGCCGCCGGCGCCGCCCGGCGCCGCCGCGCCCGGCGAGGCGGCGGCGGGCTGGCACGACGTGGAGAGCTCGACGTCGCTGTCCGGGGAGGCGGCGGGCGCCGTCGACTGGACGGCCGGGCGGGCGGCGGGCCCGGGGAGGGCCCCTACACAAACGCGGAGGCGGAGAGCTCCCAGGCATCGGGCGCCTCGGGAGAACCTCTCGGGGCCCTCGCCGGGCCTCGCTGGGCCGTCGGAACACGGCTCTGGAGGAAGAGCCTGTCCCAGGGTGAAGTGGTCGGGAGGTCGATGCCCGTGTCTCGGAAAAATCGGGTCGTCGGATGTCTTGGAAAGACTGTGCGGCACCTGCGTGGGCTTTCGACGGTCCGCGCGGATGTCTTGCATGGATCTGCGCCGGAAGCCCCTCCCACGCGCGTGGAGCGCGGCGGCGCCGGAGGCGCCGCCAGGGGGGCACAGCGCAGATCCAAGAAATCCGCGCGGCCCGTCGAAAGTTGATGTTTATACTGTGCTGGGCAGGGATCCGAAACCCAGACATCTGACGTCTCGATTTTTTCGAGACACGGGCCCCCGACCTCCCGACCACTTCCCCAGGACCGGTTCTTCATCCCGAGTCGTTCTTTGACGGTCCCGAGGCCCGGCGAGGGCCCCGGGAGGCCGAAAATAACGAAAACCATCCGTCTCGATTTTTTCGAGACGACCGATGTCTGGGAGGGGGGCCCTCGAGGGCCACAAGCGTGCCCCTGGCTTCACCCCGCGTGCACTGACCCCGCGCTGCCGCCCGCCCGGGATGATGGCGGCCTTGCCGGCGGGGGCGAACGACCCGGCCGCGGAGGGGGCGAAGGACCTGCCGAGGAAGGAGCCGGCCGCGGAGCCCACCGCGGAGCCGTGGAAGGAGATGTAGGGGGCCACATGCGAACCCTACCCCTACCCCCAGACCCCCTCGCGTCGTGAAAAAAACACGACGGAAGGTTTTTCGCTATTTTTGCCCTCCGGAGGTCCTCACCGGGCCGCGGGAGCGTCAAAAAACGACTCAGGATGAAAAACCGGTCCCGGGGAAAGGGTCCAGACCTCTGGGGGTCGACGTCATGAAAAAATCACGACGTCGGGGGTCTGGGCCCCCCACGATTTTTGAGGGGGAGGGTGGGTTCACTTCGCTCGGGAGCT